CAGACGAGCAGCCTGGTGGCCTGAGGGACCCAGCGGGAGGGAGGGGGCAGTCAGGCCGCAGCCTGCGTGGAGCCGGGAGGAGCCAGGAGGCAGCCTGCCCTCTGCTCTCGGTGCCCGTGGGAAGCCTCCAGGGTGGTGGGGGCTCCTGGACCCTCCCAGGCTGCTGGGCAGTGCGTGCGGGCCCCTGAGAGCATCCTGGGACCCCTGTCCTTGCTGCTATGGGGGCGGGAGGGACAAGTGTTCCCATAGGCGTGAGTTCACTTGCCCCACTTCCTCCTTCCCCCCACCCCCCTCCCCACCTGGTGGAGATGCGCCTCTAAACTCACCCCAGATTAACGGCGGGGGCGGGAGGGGGCGGTCACAGCAGGAGGCAGCTCAGGTTGCCTCCAGCACAAGCCCCAATCAGAGCTCCAGTCAGAGCGGAGCCTGCAACCGAGGTACGTGCCCTGGACTGGAATCGAACCTGGGACCCTTTGGTCCACAGGCCGACACCCTGTCCCAGTGGTTCTCAACCTTCCTAACGCCACGACCCTTTAACACAGCTCCTCATGTTGTGGTGACCCCCAATTTCATTGTTACAAATTGAACATAATTAAAGCATAGTGATTAATCACAAAAACAATATGTGATCATATATGTGTTTTCCGATGGTCTTAGGCGACCCCTGTGAAGGGGGTCGCGACCCACAGGTTGAGAACCGCTGCTCTATCCACTGAGACACACCAGCCGGGACTGTTGTTACTTTTATAGACAAACAATGGAACCCTCTCCATTACGATGTTCTCTAAAACCCCACTAAGTAACCAACTGACCGATGTGCCTTCCTGGAGCACGAGGTGCAAAGAGTCCATCGCTGGAATCTACAAGGCACCACCCCCACCCCGTGCCCCCCTGGAGAACTGTAGCTGCTCCGGGCCTGCAGGGCGCTGTGAGTGGGCAGTGCAGTGGGCAGGACTCTGGCTGTTGGGGCAGACACTGGGAGTTGAGTGGCTCACAGGCAGGGATAGCCAGGGTGGAATGCCCTCTGCTGGGGCCCCCTGTCCCCAAGGGGAAGGTGGGCCTGGGCCACAGCCACATGCTGGTGTGTGTGTAGCGGGGGTGAGCCCCAACTGGCAGTTCCCACGGACCGAGGGCTTCAAGGGGCGTTTTCTGAAGGGAGGGGGCTTCCGTGCAGACAGAAAACAGCGGTTGGCCAGTTTACAGTCTTCTAAAGCTCACGTGTCTCACGGGAAACGTAGGTTTTAATGTGTGTGTGAAGTCACAGAGCCTCACCAGAAGTTACCAAAGCTCTGTGGATCCCCCACCAACTCCACGCTGTCTGTCTTTCATCTAATTCTGGGAATAGGGGTGCCCTCAGAGTCTGAGTGCAGTTTTACTTTAATCACGTAAGCAGTGTAAACGCTACACACCTGCACACACATCGGGTGAGTATTCACTTACTACACGTGTTTTACGCTTGGCTTGCTGACATCTGGACCCTAAGCTTTCCATTTTCATTCTGGGGGTGGGCCAGCATCCGGCCGGGCGGGCAGGGGGAGGGGAGAGCTGGCCGACCTCCCTAGAGGTCACCGTGTCCACTCTGCCACATGTGCATCAAGACCCCGTGAGGCTGAAATGGAAGGGCAGTCCCTTCAGTCACTGACCATCACCCCGAGCCTGTTATCTAAGTCTGACACGGGCTCTGCCTGCATCCTCCCTGTGGCGGGCGCCATCTTGCTCCGAGCTGGCGGGGGTTGCCTTGTCTTCAGCTTTCTGGAACTGGAGGAGACCAGCCCTGTGCAGGTGCTGGCGAGGAGACCCCTCAGGCAAAGTTCCCGACCTCGGGGCGCGCCCAGCCACAACCCAGGGTAGAGACGGGGACACCGGTCCAAACGGCCGCAATGCCAGCCGGGACAGGAGTGAGCGCGGATGGGGAATGCCTGCAGGGGGGTCATGTCGGGTGCAGGCTAGGCACAGTCTATGTTCCTCTCATTCATTCGTCCCTTCAACAAATACCTATCAGGTGCCAAGCACGTGCGGAACACTGTCCTAGCTGCGGAGGGTAGGGCAGCAAACAGAATCTCTGCCATCAGACTGAGAAGCTCATTAGCTTCTAGGTGTGCATGGCTGTCAGCGCGCCTCTACACTGTGTCTGTGTGTACGTCTCTGTCTGTGTGTCTGTCTATGCCAGGTGACGGTCATGGGTGTCCACAATGACTTGACAGCGGGGAGAGAGAGAAAGCCAGGTGAAGAGGGGGTGAAGCAGGGTGCCCCGGATGGGGGAGGGGCGTCCTTCCCAACACTGCAGAGTGGACGTTAGCTCTGTTTTACGGATGGGAAGTGACGTTCCCCAGAGGGCACTTGTCACAAAGAGGCCAATACATGCTTGGCACCTCCACGAGGACCGGATCGGAGGGGTGTTACCATTGTCCCCGCCGTACAGTTTAACAAACCCGAGGTCCCCCGCGGTTAACAGACTGCCTGAGTCCCGACCTTGGGCAAATTGCTTAGCCTCTCTGAGCTTCGGTCTGTAACAGTGCTGTCCCCTAGAAATGTGCGAGTCGCAATGTCATTTCTAGCTTTCTAGTAGCCACATTAAAATAGAAAATGAAGAATCGGTGACATTTTTTATTTAACTCAATATATCAAAAATATTGCTTCAATGTGTAATCCCTATAAAAATTCAGGTATTTTACATACCTTATCCCAAATCTTCAAAATCCCATGTGTGCCTTACACTCAGGGCAGGCACATTCAGTAGGACTAAGCACACACCCAGTGCCCGGCAGTCGCCTGTGGTGTCGGCTGGACAGCGCGGGTCCACGGAATGGGGATGATGAGAACACAGTGGGGATTAGCGTGGACTGAAATGAGTGAGGCACTGCCTTGGGAAAATGTAACATTAAGGGAGCACCAGAAAACAACACAAAACGGTAACCAACGTGAATACCTCATCGGGAAGACAATTGTATTAAAATAGAAGCTTCCTCCTCTTGATTACTGAAGAGTTGTGGACACTCCACTAAATTACCCACCCACACTCACACTCACACCCTCACGCTCACACACACACCCTCACGCCCACACACACACCCTCACGCTCACACACACACACACTCACACAAACACACACACCAACACGCCCCCTTTTCACACCCTCACACTCACACCCTCACACACACACACACACCCTCACGCTCACACCCTCACACGCTCACACTCACACCCTCACTCACACACACACCCTCACGCTCACACTCACACCCTCACACTCACACACACACCTCAAAATGTGTCACCGGAAGTATAATAATAATGCTGGTCATTGTAGTCCATAGTAGGCGATATGCAAAGTGTTGGAGAGGAAAAGAGAGAAAGGCAGGGGAGAAAAAGGGTGGAGGGATGGGACAAACTGTGTGGTGGGAAGGATGAGGAGGCCCATTTTCCATTTCCTCTGAGCTTCAGTGTTCTCAGTTTTAAAATGGGAATAATGATGAATGACAATAAAGTAATGTGCGCACAGCACACAGTATAATCTGGTGCAAGCTGATGCACCCTCACACTCACACCCTCACACACACACACCCTCACACTCACACCCTCACACTCACACGCTCACACACACACCCCCTCACACTCACACCCTCAAGGCGAGCGCCTCGCTGGCCTGGCCGTCGTCCTGACCCTGCAGTAATGACTGGTGATGATGGTGACCGTCCACTCACAGGCGTGTAGAGTGGGCTGCGTGAGGTGATGCCCACGCACAGCGCTCAGCCGGGGCTCGGGCAACAAGGGCCTCAGGCTTTCCGCTGCCGGGAAACAGGACCGATTGGGTTTCAGTCTTGCACTGTAATGACCTTCTAGCTCTTCTGCGGTCCAAGGAAAGAACTGTGAACTCCCCCGCTAAACTGAAGCTTGGAAAAGAGGGCGGGGAAGGTGCATGCTGACGGGAAATGGGAGGGACGGGGACCAGGCGGGACTGGGACGGGGAGGGGTTGCGGGTGGGGGTGAGGTGTGTGTGGGGGGTCAGCTTAGCCCACTGACTGGCCGTGACGCCAGAGCACCCCAAGCAGTCGCCTCTCTCCTCCCTGGGGAGGCCCTGCCCTCACTGATGTCCGGTTTCGGTGGTGGCGGGGGGTGCACTGGACATGAATGCGGTGGGACCAACTGCCCAGGCATGGGGGAGGCGGAGGGCACTGAATGCGGAGCCCAGGAGGCGGTGCCCACACCGAAGCCCCCAGAGCCGGTGCTGGAGCCGGAGAGAGGCCCTGGAGGCCCCGCCGGGCCCTTCCCACTGGACACGCCCGTCCCCCTGCCGGGTCAGCCCCTCCGACCTTGCTCCGGTGCTGCCTCCTAGCTGTGGGCAGCCGTCCTACACCTGCAGGCGTTTCCATATTTGTCCACTCGCCTCTGAGCCGCACCCTACACCCCCAGAGCTGGAGCGAGGGCACTGACCCCCCCCTTGCCTTGCAGGAAGAGGAGCAGGAGCAGGACAGCGAGGAGGAAGCACCCCCAGCAGAGCCTGAGGAAGACGATGGTGAGTGGGACCTGGCACCGGGCCGGCTCTGTCCAGCTCTCGCGCTGGCCATGAACGCCCGCTGCGCTGAGGGCTCGTGGGATCCCAGCTGAGGGTCGGAGTGGCGGGCTGAGGGGAGAGGGTGAGGGAGGGGGGCTGAGACATGGAGTCCTGTCGGCCCCAGGATGTCCAGCTCAGAGCCGCTCCCTCCACCCCACCTCCCTGCCCACCTCCTTCCCACCTGTAAACTGTGAGTTGTCTCTATCACAGGGGACCCCCCGATAAACGGAGCCCCTGACCTCGTGTCCTGAGCTGCCCCTCACTGCCTGGGGTCGCGGCCATGGGGTCGTGGCCATGCCCTTCACTCTCTCCAAGCCCCGCTGCCCTGTTTCATGGAGACCAAAGCCACTCCGGCTACTGCCGTGTGCCTGCCGAGCGGACGCCCGACCTGGGCGGCTCCAGCTCACAGGCCTCCTGCTGGCATCAGGGTCAGGCGCCAGGAGAGAAAGGGAACGACCAGGACGCGGAGGAAACAACCAATGCAGACGTGACCTAGTGGAAGGCAGTGTGTTTGCCCGGACGCCCCTGGGGCCAGTGCCCCGGACAGACCGACAGAACCGAACGCGGTGTGGAGCTGCCACCGCTGCATCTGTCATGTTTCCTTCTCTTAAAAAGAAGCTGAAGCAAGAACAGCAAAACGTCAACATTTGCTCACCCATAGGGCAGGTAGACGGAGGACTTGCTGCTATACTTTTGTGTATGTTTGAACTATTTCGTGATGTTTGTTGTTAATCCTCACAGAGGATATTTCCCATCGATTTCCAGAGAGAGTGGCAGGGAGAGGCAGGCACAGAGACACATCGCTTGGTTGCCTCCCACACGCACCCCAACCAGATCGAGCTTGTAGCCGAGGCGCGTGCCCTTGACCGGAATTGAATCCGGGATCCTTCAGTCTGCAGGCCGATGCTCTAGCCACTAAGCCCAACAGGCTAGGC